GTATCAGCCACACAATCAAGGATCTCGCACATAATTTATAACATAATCAAATATCAATTACGAAAAACATAGGGAAAAAATAGGAGAGCAAAAAAGATAAAAATAACGAAAGAAAAGAACCTGCCTCACTCGATGCCAAGCCATTCGCCTAAACAGCCTTCTTGCCGACAGCAGAGGCCGCCCACCTAAGGTCCTCCCATAAACCTCGGCAAAAAGAACAGTCCCAGGCTCCACAACCAGCTTTCCTTGCATTGGCTGTCCACTTAATGCCTCGTCATTTTGCACAATTCCAACCTTCCCGGGCACTAAAAACTCTGCATCGGATTCAAAATCACACAACAAATAATCTATCTCCTTATCAGACAAGGGAAGCACTTCTTTTGTCAGCATTGTTCCCAGTAAATCTGCCCCAACATTGACATCAAGCTTATTCTCATTGCCCGAGACCACCACGCCCACCACGAAATCACCTGCTTTTGGTTCATAATAATCCAAATTGACCTATATATGTAGAATTATAAATTTAAATATTTTAGCTCTAATAATTGCTGAAAGTGTGAAGCAACAATAATTGCAAAGTTTTCCAGCACGCACGAACACCTTTTCAGTTTCCTCGGCAACAGAAACCTGGCTTTGGTTCATTTGGTCCTGCGATGGCCCGAAGAGCTTATAAAAGGACTCGAGAATATCACCTTCGGCACGTTTATCCTTTTCATCTTCTTCTATTTCCTCGGCCTTTCCATTGTCCACTTGTTTTGGAAAAGGCTTTTTAAGGGATAGCGCAAGCTCCTCAGATTCTTCACAACCAGCCGTTTCGGGCAAAAGGGTGTCATTAACTTCCTCAAAAGATCCATATTTGGCGCAAAACGAAACGCGGGACCATCTGAATCTTGATAATGTGGAAGAAAGACGCAAGTTTCTGCAAAAGTTCGTCTGGGATGTCGAAGCTTTATCTATGGCGAAGAGGGGAGATGATAGTGTCGGAGAGGTGAACGGTACATAATGAGTAAAGAGAGAGAAATTACGAATGGAGGGATGATGAATAAGGATTGGCATTTCTGCTTATCCACTATCCACCGTGCTCCGAGGAAGGGTTTTTACACTCTCTTTCCCTGTTAGCCAACATGAATACATGATGACTATTCATAAAATATCCAAACATGTATTTTGTTTATTTATTTTAAATAAGGCAAAATTGCGGTCAATATCATGACCTTTATCGACATTGTAAATTAATCACAACTTTTTAACTTTTTGTATAATATATCACGTCCTTCAATTCTTTGTAAAACGATACACGATTTTCATCTGATGCCCCAAATTAATCACAACCTTTATTGTCAACCATTTGCTAAGCAGGGGGCGCCGTCGCTCCTCCTGGTTGCCCTCAAGCCAGCGGCGCCACCGCCTGCACCACCGGGTCTCCTTGCAACGACGTGATGACCGCCATTGGCGTTGTTCCACGAGCCTCCTGATCTCTACTCGTGCCTTCTCCTCCACCTAGAATCGTCGATGAGACACCCAAACCTTGAGGGGTAGGTGTTGGGGTCACCGGTGTTTGTGATGGTCCTGAGAAACCGGGTGGAGGGCCCGTTTCCAAGGGTCTGGTCGTCGTCTAGGCATCATCGAACGACGACTGCAAGTTCATTCGAGGAATTCCGTCCGCCACAGTTGAGCTATAAACACAACTTTTCGAACAGAAGTCCCACAGACGACGCCAGTAATACAGGTGCAACACCTAGACCGGTTGGAAACCGTCTCGAGCTCGTCTTCCTCACCGATAGAACGCCAAAACCTGCAAGAAAACTCTCACACCGGAGGGATTTTCCGGTGAAGAGCCTCCAACGATCAAGTCAGCCTTGAGAAGATGAAGAATATATGTAGAAAATATGTAAGCAAGAGAGATTGTGTGTAAAACGAGAGATCTCACCCTTATTTATAAGGACGAATTACCTGCCCTAGGTGCTGCCCAGGCGAGCTGAGCTGGCTGCCCCAGCTGCCCGATAGTACGATCGTCTGCCTCCACTACCTCGGTGTCAGAAGCGCGTCAAAATGTGTCAGAGATTGCCAGAGACCGTTATCTCCCTAGACCACTCATTGTATGCCATCTCACGTGTTGGAGATTTCTTTGGGTATTTTACCATTCGACCATGTCTGGAACGGATGCTGAGTTATCCCTTGGATAGAGAGTGGTCGATCCAACGACCATCTATAATCGACCAATTGTCCGCTCGACCAAGGCTTTGTGAAGCAAGTGCTTCCCTTGCGGTCCTCGATATATGCGATCTCGAACCCTAGTCGTTGTTCAGTGACCATTATGCTCGACCAGCCCGACAAACCTCTTTCGCCCGGTTGACCCAGTGAATCGGTCTAATGTATATAATATCCTATATCATCTAGTCCCCCCACTCTGGTCGAGTCTAAATGACTCGATCTAAGAGTAGGCTTTGTCTGTGCCGCCGAGGTCCTGCTCTACTTGTTTCGACTAACCGACGCATTTTTCACTTTTTCTCGACCATCTCCCGCTGTAACCACCATTTTGTAGTTTGAATTTCAAATTTTGCCACTTGTCCGCCTTATCAGACGCGCCCGTTCACATGTTGGGTCTCATGATTTCCCCGTAAACTGCGCCCATTCGAATGTTATGCCGCTTTAAAACCCATATTCCTGCTAGCCGTTGGATCAATTACTTTAATCGTGCGGTTGATATTTTCGGCGTCTGTTCACCTCTCCGTTAATCTTGACCCTTGTCTCTTCGTGATCCAACGGTTGGCAATTCACATTCTCTCCAAAAGGTTCAAGTCCTCCTCGCACAATGTCAATTGGCTGAATTTCGACGAAGTCGGCCGTCCTTCCGCCACATGCAGCCTCGACAAAAATGAAACTAACGACAACCCTCCTCCTGGTGCTTATACATTCTTTAAAGCCCAGTTCCCTTGGTTTGCATTTTCCTATCTGCCAGGATATGGTCGATCTATGTGGCCTTTATGGTTTGGCTTTAAACTAACTCCCTCCTAATGCTTTTAGAAATTTGACGACCTTTATTATTCTTTCTATCGTCTCCATGGGTTGAGTAGACTTATATTTTTTCGTTTATTGTTACTTGGCTTCTAAACAAGCTGACGACCTGTATTTAAAGAGACGAAATAATGCCCACTTCATATCTGATCAACAATCCAATGTCCCGAAATGGAAAGACCAATTTGTATACGTAACCCCTAAACAACCTTACCAGTAGGCGTCAACTCAATGGATTAAAGAGGTGCCCCTTAAGCGCGCGACTCCTTCGGACAATCCAATCTTCAACCGTCGCATCGCCCTTTGGAATTCCAGTCCAGTCGCTACCGCAACTCCACTCAAAGATAATAATTTGCTCCACTATTGTGGTATACTTACTCATAAGCCATGTTCTGCTCCTCTTCCTGAAACCATAATTAAATTATGCATCAACCAAGACCTCGTGGAACTACACATAAAAGCTCGAGCAAGTGTTCGACTTACTGTTGTTACTTTTCCAATGCTTGTCCTCATACTTGTTGCATTTTATATTGTCGACTAATGCTGTAAATATTTTTACCGGAGTTAAATCAAAAGATTCGAACACCGAGACGTCTCTCAAGGAAGGTTGGCATTAAATTGCGCAAATATTCAATCACAAAAGAGAAAATAATCCTAACACTATAATCAGATTGATTTGGTTTGATTTATAAACTACGAATTATGAAATAAAGCTAGTTATTCCAAACTCAAGCTCAAAACACAAATTCAAATAATGAATAAAGGGGCTAGGGTATCGGGGACAATCGCTTCAGGTTTTCAATACACTTAACGAGCAATCAAGAGCTCGGTTAAATGGCTTGACAAACTACTCATCTAGAGATTGATCCTCAATAACTCTTCGTAACAAGAGGATAGACATAAACGAGTAATTCTTGAAACAATTAACACATAAGTAATACCATTGCAAACAAGTTTATTCCTAACGAGCCTAGATCGAACGATTTCTCCCATTTTGGTTCTAAAATTGATTAAAGAGGTTAAGATGGTGATCAATCATCTAACCCTATAATTTACACAACTCGAAAAGATTGAGCAATTAACATGCATATAAACGAAATCGAACCGGAACGATAATCCCCTAACCCTAGCTAATGAATTTAGCTACTCATACTGAATTTAACATGAACATCCACACCAATCAAAGCCATATTCATCATATATAAATGAAAAGAAGAACTTACGATTGATATAAATCCAATGTCGAAAACAAGGAAGAAAACCAAATCCACAAGTCAAATCTTGGAAGATTTCACTCTCCAAGGTTGAATCCCATCAAAAACCAAGAGAAAAGGTGTTGTAGCAGTGACAAATCGAAAATACAATGTTCAAGAATGTCTAAAAACTGCCCTAACACGATCTGGTATCCTTTCCCATTTCAATTTCCATGAAAATCGCGACAATTACAAATCAGGGGTTAGCGGCGCTAACCACTTAGTGCTGCTAAGGTGCGATCTGCTGTAGTTTCTAGGGGTCGTTAAGCCATGTAATGCCGCTAGGGGGTTGGCCTTAGCGGCACTATGGCCTGGACAGCTTCAAAAACTTCATATTACGGGCGCGGGTGCTCTCGGCAAGCATCACTCGGGTTCTGCCCGAGCTAGAAAACTCAGTCCTTGCATGCTTTGGTCGTACGAACTAGTGTGAAACTCCTAGGAACCAAAACGAGATACTAAACAGACATAAATAATACTAAAACACAAGAAACGACTAGAAGGACCGGAAAAATCTTAAAAAATGACCTATATCGGGGGAAACGACACAAAAAATACCAACAAAAATAGTAACAAAAATGGGACAAAGAACTAATCCTTTATTGACTTGTGTTCTATTCGTGCAGAGGGATTCTTGCACAAACCTGACCTCAAGAAGTCTGTCGAGAAAAGGACGATAAACAAAAACTCCTCGACCACGTCGGAGAAGACCAAAAGCACTTCCTCGACCAGGGAGGTTCCCCCACGCACCGAGAAATCGGGGGTTCCTCCTCCCTCAAGAAAACACAAGGCTCTTTCTCCTCCTCCCAAGCAATCTGACCGTCATTCCAGCCACTCGACCAAGGAGGGGAAGGTCACTAAAAAGCGCCCTCGCTTCGAGGTGATCATTCCTCAATCCTACGACAAAACCGTCGACCATTCCAAATCCCCCAACAAACGTCCTCATCTTAGCCAAGTTTGATGGGTCTCAACTTGTTCAACAGGCTTTTTATTCTCCCTCCTTGGTGGGAACTGGTCCTCGGGAGGCCATTTTTCGCCTAATCAGCCTCTTGGCCTTCGAGGACACACATCGTTAGGCAGTCGCCCGCCGAGCCCAAGGCGAGTATGCTGCTGGCGCCTTGATACAGGTATGCCAATAAATGACCACCAGTTCCATATTCCACCTCTAAGCCCTGTTGTGTCTGCTTGTATTTTGACTTGTGTTACTTGTGCAGACTGTAGTTTTCGTCGCCCCTCTCCTCGAGGAGACTTTGAATAGTGCTGGTCGTCCTCTCCTTGTGGTCGAGGGTGATAACAGGTGCCTCGATATAGAGAATCAGTAGCTCAAGGTCAAGAACCATGAGTTGCTCAAGCTGCGTCACGAGCTGACCGAGCAACTCAAAAAGAATGAGCAGACACATAGGGAGGAGCTACAGCGTCTCAAGGACGAGCTGAAAGGTAAAGATAAAGTCCTCGAGGTAGAGAAGGTCAGTAAGAAGAAGGAGGCCGAGGCTGCTGCTATTGCTGCGATGGAGCAATCCCGCAGAGCCTTATGGAAATCCCAACTTGGTCAGATTTTCTTTAAGGCTTACCGAGAGCAGTTGATCAATGATTACCTCTGCTCGACCGCCTTCCTCAAAGAAGCCTCGGGGATGGTGTAATAACCCAACTTTTTGATAATAGAAATGATGTATTATCTTTTATTGATTCCGTTCATTTTCAGCGAATACATTCGACGTTAAGTCGAAAAGTTTATCCGGTTAATTATTAACCGAGTTAATTCGATAATTAATTTCCGAACCGCTTATT